ATTTGTAGACAGTCTGTCTTACCGTGGACACATGAACATCAAGGCTTTTGGAGATACTTTTGTAACCCTTTCCAGCTTCATGCAAGTCAACAATTCTTGATCGTAGGTCTTCTGAGAGCTCTTTTCTGCGAGGCATGGTTCACATCAGACAGTGCTTCTTAAAAACAAGTAAACCCAAAACAGGTGTGTGTTTTTTAAGGGCAGGACAGCTGTCAGCAACACATCCAATATCATCACACTGATTGGAGTCAAGGTTGGCTCACTCCTGGCTCCAATTAGCTCTGGGAGAAGTCATTAAGCTAGGGCCTCACATACTTTTTCCTCCCTGCACTGTGAATGTTATGTGCAATTAAACCATGGCAACATCTAATATTTGTGTAGTATTATGTTCAGCAGACTGTGTTCTTCTATTGTTGTGACGTAGATGACGTTCAGAGCACATTTTATGCCCAATTCATGCAAAACTCCACGTAATTCCAAGGGGTTCACATACTTTTTCTTGCAACTGTATTTCTATTTCTTCAGTTTGTTGCGATTTCACATATAGACTACAATTCAAATCGCACTGCAAAATGCAATGGAAAACGCAAGAAATAGTTGGGTTGAAAATGAGGTGAAATCGCAAACAAAATGCGCGGTTTTAAATCTCATCCAGTGTGAACCAAGCCTTAAACCTGGAAGCTGATTGGCTCCCATGCGCAGCTGCACCAGATTTTGCGCTCTCCAGTTTTAGTAAATAACCCCCACAGAGTCCCAAATTTACATACCTGGACGATACATTCCATCTAAATACTAAATCCCAACCAGGGCCGGACTGACCATTTGGGAACTCGGGCACTGCCCGAGGGCCCGGGGTCAGTAGGGGGCCCCATGAGATGCCCCTGGTACCTTTCATAGGTTTTTTTGGGTGTGGTTTGAGTGTGGGCAAGGACACAGGGGCCCCATGATCCCCTATTGCCCGGGAGCCCCATGAGTTGTCAGTCCGCCCCTGATCCCAACCATTGCCTGTATTTATTTCTTGGGTTTAGCATTTCCTTGACAATCACAGCTTCCTTGGTTTCAGACCATAAAAGGGCACATTATAACCTGTTAAAGAAACAAACATCTTGTAAGCACTGGAACTGATATGATATGCTTTTTTTTATATTATATTATTCTTATCACTTAAATGCATGTGCATCCTTGAAAAAATGTTGAATGAAAAGTGGCATATGAAAGAAAACCTGTGATACACAGTTGTATTGTGATGGGTCTTTTCATGGACTTAACCTGAACTTTCTGAATGACAAAAAAAATCTGTAACAAAAAACAGATATCTCCCTGTTTATCCTTTGAATGTTGGTTTTTACAATATTAGCTAAGGGGATATTGGCATTAAGAAAGTGAAACATTTACTTTGACACCTGTTATGATACCCTGTGGCAGATGATGTGAGCTCCCCCGGGCACAGAATCTAAGTACCAGTTGTTCTTCACCAGAGCTCCTGACGATGGAAATTGGCCAGAAACTCTAGTGGTCCTCTTCACTGCAATTGGTACCAGGTTGCAGCCCTTGGAATTGTCCTACCGAGGGTACAGGAGGGTTAGAGAGTGGAGACAGGAGACCAGAGCATAGTTGGTATCAAGCAGGGGTCTTGGCAGGCATACAGAAGTCAGACAGTTTGTGTCAGCAACAAGTAGACGGTAAACTAGACTGGGGATGAAGGAGTAGGCAAGTTTAGGTACGGGTCTTTGCAAGAGACAAGTAGTGAGAAGTCAGACAGTCTGGGTCGGCAAAGAAGAAGGTGAAGGACAAAGCAGAAGATGAGAGAATAGTCAAAAAACCTAGATCAACAACAATAGGAAACAGGCTTCAACACTGTAGCTCTTGCTCATGGGTAGCTGGTTTGAAGACACAGCACCAACTTATTTAAAAGGTAGTGCCTAAATACCCTCCAGGCCATTCCTGAAGAAAGTCAAACATTTACCTTGACACCTGTTATGATGCCCTCTGGCAGATGATGTGAGCTCTCCCGGACACAGAATCTAAGTACCAGTTGGTCTTCACCAGAGTTCCTGATGATGGAAATTGGCCAGAAACCCTAGTGGTCCTCTTCACTGTAATTGGTACCACGTTGCAGCCCTTGGAATTGTCCTACCAGGAGGTACAGGAGGGCTAGGGAGTGGAGACAGGAGACCAGAGCATAGTTGGGATCATAGCTCTTGCTCATGGGTAGCTGGTTTGAAGACACAGCACCAACTTCTTCAAAAGGTAGTGCCTAAATACCATCCAGGCCATTCCTGGCACTTTTATGACTGAACCAGGACTGAACTGGACTGGGGACAGAGAGAGCTGGAACAAGGTTGGAAGTGAGCAATGTCTGGACCGCGCTGGACCACCTCCTGTTACGCTCTGTTAACGTTTTCTTGTTATAGGACTTTGGTATTTCACAACTAACAGTCCCTGGATGGAGGCTCAAACGTCCCCCAAGTTGGTCTTCACTCACAGCAAGCTTAAGTAGCTTCTGACAATGCAAAGGCTCCTGTGTTTTGTCTACTCAGGGATGTCACTGTAGCAATGGGTCAGTGAAGGTTCTAATGTTACTCAATGTTCTCAGCGCAATGGACTATAGGCAGCTAGTGGGTGGGTGCAGCATGGTGTGGTGGCAGTGAACACACCGAGTCCAGTTGCAATTAACAAAACTTGTATTGAAGGAATGGCTCAAAGATACATACAGTCAAGGTAGGAAGGTACCCAGCTGGGAACACTCACAGTTCTGTGCAATGATGTAGAGTTCAGCTGGTTCTCTGTCTCTGAGGGTGGAATGTGGCCTGGCCAGTCTGAGCCCAATGGGGAGTATTCCTAGGAAGGATAGTGTCCCTGTCCTGTCCATACTAATCTGCAACCTTTTCCTACCACTATTCACTTTCCTTGGCAGACAGCTAAGCTGTCCCTGTGCTGTCCAAATGCATGCCAAGCCCCGGGGGCAGAGTTTTAAACAGACTCTGCATGACCCATGATGGCCACCAGATGACAACGCTTTCCCAGTGACCCAGGAAACCATAGAAGACTAAGTTCCCCGACTTCCTCTCCCTCTGCAATGCCGCAATGGTTTGAGCACCACCTGCAGTGGAGAAAAGAGATTTCACCTGCCTACAAGCTGGGTTAGTCATTAGCAACAGCAACATTTTCCATAACTTCTCACATCTCATGAGGGAAGAACCCCCAAAAATCAGACCCTTCCAGGAGCCAGGACCCATTCTAGAAGGTTGCTCCAGGTATTAAAAAGTTTTTCTTTCCCAACCCATGGTCCTAACTCCTTGGTAATTGGTCATTTGCCAAAAACATAAGCATCACCACTATACGTTTTAACTTTTTACATAGCTCCCTTGAATACCGTAACCATGGCTGGCAGACATTATAAGAGGATCCCCCCCTCCCATAGCACAAAGATCAGCAAAAACAGCAAACCATCCTTACAGACAGACTAGACCATGGGACAAACAAACTGTTAGCATGACGTTTGGAAACGAATTACTATACAAACACCTGTCAACAGATTTATTTTTTCTTGCTAAAGTAACATATGTAAACCCATTGACACTTCAATTTCCCCTGCATAATATTATGACCCCTCACCTACAACACTGTATAATATGCCCCATGACTATGTTATATAACAAGGTATCCTAGTGCATTATTGGTCCACCAGAATGTGCATATATAGCCAAAACTTTTCTTTTTAGGATTACAACACCTGTCAGTTTATTTTTTAAGGTCCATTGGAGAAAATACCAGTCACTTCCTTTCCTGGAAATGCAACAAAGTCAAGGGAACTCCCCTCTTAGACAGTTATCATCAGAGCAGTGGACAGGAGCAGGAAGATTTACTTTCATCTCTTGTTCTAATGATGACTAGAACATTTTGGGTTTATTATTACTGATTATGTTGGTGGCAATGGTCACCAAGACAAATAGAGACGGTGTATCTACCCAGCAGAGTCACAGACTGGAAGAAAAACAGAGGGGGGCCCAACACTTCCACGCTCATTTTTATCCACATTCATTTTAATGGTGTTCCCTGTAGTCTAACTCCCACAGGTAAGTGCAGAAATTTGCATTTTTATGCCTTCTTTTGGCCGTGCCTCCTCCTCAGGTGACTAAGCAGGTGTCCATTAGGAAAAAAAAAATGTAGCTTCCGCACTACAAACCAGTATTTCCCAATGTACAACAGTATATCAGCTAGAATGGATTTTCTTAACCTTTTTACCACAAAGGAACCCTTGAAATAATTTTCAGGTCTCAGAAAAAAGAGAAAACAATTGCCCCCTTCCATTGGTGGCAAGTTTGAAGAATGTTCCCCCTGCAGTGGTGGTCAGAATGCCCCCCTTACATACAGCTTTAGGTTCATGCAGCTGGCTCTACCAAGTAGCATTGACCCCCAGAATTATGCAGACACCATCAAATGAGAGGTTGATCAGCTACAGTTCAAGGAACCCCTAGCAACATCTGGAGGAACCTTGGTTGGGAATGGCTGATCTAAAATATATTATTTTTCCTAAATCCAGACAATGATTCATAAAATGCATCACTAGATCTTTCAGTAAGGACAAATAATTTATTGCAGTTTTGTTTTAAATGTTTAGGGGTGCATATATCATAATTAATCACCAATATGAAAAAAAAAAAAGAAGACAAAAAATCTTGAAAGAACTACATTTCACCTTTTACACCTGTATGTACAAACAGAATATTCATAGGAATGCATCTTTTGAACTTTTTTGGAACTGAAAATTCTTTTTTAAAACTGAAAACTCAGCCATTTCTACAGTGCGCCTTCTGTCTAACCTTTCATAGACTACAGTTTTAAATGTTAGAGTTCAAATTACCTCCTACTAGGCCTGGGAACACTTTGGATTCCCTACAACCAGTTTTGTGGCCAAAGCTAAGGAACATCTGTTCTAGCCTGGTCAGTGCTCAGGCCACCACTATGTCCAACAATGAATGAAGGTGACCATCCCACTAGATAATATTACTGTTTTGTAAAGGTAAGGTCACTATGGCATTTGAAATAGCCGAGAAAGCTGTTCCCGAACTTTTGGAGTTCTTGTGTAGACTGAAGATATCTGTACTGATTGGCTCTGGCCGTTGTTTCCTGAAGATACTTCTCATGGTGGATTGGAAGTTGTTGGTGACAAAACAATAGACGATGGGGTCCATACAACTATTAAGGCTACTCAAGGTTACTGTGATGTGGTACACAATGAGGATGACATCCTGAGACACCTCACCGCCGGCACAGAAGGCCACTTGACTAACATGGATGGGGGTGAAACAAACTGTGAAGATGATCAGCACCGTTATGAGGAGCTGTACCGCCTTCATCCGTCTCTCTCGGCTTTGGTTCATTAGCGTTGACCTGGACAAAGCCCACATGATCCGCAGGGTGTAGAAAGTGATAATTATCAGAGGAACAAAGTACTCAAAGGCGGTCAGCGTGAAAAGCTGAAAAAGACAACAGTGTTTGTGTTTTATCGTTGTGGTCAGTATGGTGAAAGTAACAACCACAGCAAATATCCAAATAATAATGCAGATGCATTTGGCATAGTTGGGGTTTCTCCACCTGCGTGAGGCTTCGACTTGCACAATGGCCATGTAGCGATCAACGCAGATGCAAGTCAGGAAAAGAATACTACAGTACATGTTTACAAAGTACGTGAAGCTGTGAACAAAGTAGCAGGTTTCACAGGCCTCTACATTACTGTAGTACATGACGATTCGTGTTGGTAGAGAGAGGCCCACCAAGAGGTCTGTCACCACCAGGTTGATGGTGTAAATAACAGAGGTGGTCTTCGCTTTGGTTCGAAAACAGAATACATAGATGGCCAAACTGTTCAATGTTATGCCCGCCAGGAAGATAAATGTGTTGATAATTAGCAACGCCACCCAAAGGCTATAGAACCTTTGATGCAAGGCTTCATCTGGGTTTGCTTGTTGAGGAGTTTGGGATTGTTTGTCGATTGCTCCAGATTCATTCAGCCCAACTTCATTGGTTGAGTTGGAGCTTCGAAGTCTGATGAAGCACTCCATGTTTTCTTCCCTGAACCAACCTACAAGAAATGACAGAAAAAGTGTTACAAACAGATTGTATAATATGAAGGTCTGAGGTTGTATGGAGGGTGTTGTACTGTCTCTAGGGATTTAGGTTTACCAGGAATAAATAAAGTTCCCCTCCGTCGGTCAAGATTTTAGGTCTTGCATATAATATTCCTGGTTGCATATGGGTTGATTTACTAAAGGCAAATAGTCTGTGCACTGCAAGTGCAGTTGCTTTAGATCTGAAGGGAAGCTCTGAAATGAGGGGAAGCTCTGCTTATTTCTATCATGCAATCAAGTGCAAGCAAAAATGCTATTTTTGTTTTATTTTCCTTGCATGCGATTGGGTATTCTTTGCAAAGTGAAGCTTTACGTCATTTACTAAGCTCTAGAGCAACTGCAGTTGAAGTGCACAGTAGATTTGCCTTTAGCAAATCAACCCCATTTCTCTTTTCTAATGCTTAACCCATATGGAAGAAAAATATATTTGAAATGCTACAATTTTGGCCATATCAATATATTTGAAAATATATTTTTTTATATATATATATATATATATATATATATATATATATATATATATATATATACATATACTGCATGTTGAAATGAGTTTTTTATATATTACAAAATATATGAAAAATATTTAAAAAATATATTTTTTAAAAATATATTCTTCAGATTTTTTTTAACATATAAAAAAGTAATTTTAACATATATTTTTACATATATTTGTAAATGCATTCCAAAAATGTAGTTTTGTATTTTTAAAGACATGCAGTATGTTTTAAATGTATTTTTGTAATATATTTTTCATATATTTTGTAATAAAAACATATTTCAACATGCAGTATATATATGTATATATATATATATATATATATATATATATACAGTCATGGCCGAAATATGATATTTTTCCTGAAAATCAAGTATTTCACACAAAAAATATTGCTTAACACAGCTATACACATGTTTATTATGTATTGGAACAAATATAAAACAGAGGCAAAAAGCAAATATAATAATTAACATGGACAAAATATTTTTTAATATTTGGTTGCACATTTGGAAAACATAACTGAAAAGTGCTTCCTATTCCATCAAAATGTAGACCACTCTTTTTAAAACAGCTCCATCTTCTTATTGGAAGACACCTTTTCCCAACAGCATTTTAAGATCTCTCCACAGGTGTTCAATGGGATTTATCTGGGCTCATTGCTGGCCACTTCAGAACTCTCCAGCGCTTCTTTGCCATCCATTTCTGAGTGCTTTTTGACGTATGTTTGGGGTCATGGAAGACCCAGGATAGCTTTCTGACACTGGGCCCTACAGTATCCTTTGGTAATCCTCAGATTTCATGATGCCTTTCAAACCCATGCAGCAAAAACAACCCCAAAACATCATTGAACCTCCACCATATTTTACCGTAGGTACTGTGTTTTGTTCTTTGTAGGCCTCATTTTCGGTAAACAGTATGATGTGCTTTACCGAAAAGCTCTATCTTGGTCTCATCTGTACGTTTTCCCAGAAGGCTTTTGTCAAGTACATTTTGGCAAACTGTAGTCTTGCTTTTTTATGTCTCTGTGTCAGCAGTGTGGGGTCCTCCTGTCTCCTGCCATAGCGTTTCATTTCATTTAAATGTCGACGGATAGTTCGCGCTGACACTGATGCTCCCTGAGCCTGCAGGACAGCTTGAATGTCTTTGGAACATGTTTGGGGCTGCTTATCCACCATCCGGACTATTCTGCGTTGCAATCTTTCATCAATTTTTCATCCGTCCACGACCAGGGAGATTAGCTACAGTGCCATGGGTTCAAACTTCTTGATAATGTTGCGCACTGTGGACAAAGGCAAATCTAGTTCTCTGGAGATGGACTTGTAACCTTGAGATTGTTGATATTTTGCCACATTTTGGTTCTCAGGTCCTCAGACAGTTCTCGTCTCCTCTTTCTGTTGTCCATGCTTAGTGTGGCACAGACAGACACACAATGCAAAGGTTAATGAACGTCTCTCCTTTTTATCTGCTTTCAGGTGTGATTTCTATATTGCCCACACCTGTTACTTGCCCCAGGTGAGTTTACAGGAGCATCACATGCTTGTAACATTCTTATTTATCCGCAGTTGTGAAAGGGTGCCAATACTTTTGTCCAGCCCATTTTTGGAGGTTTGTGTGACATTATGTCGAATTTGCTTTCTTTCCTCCCTTTTTTTGTTTTGTCCCAATACACACAAAGGGAAATAAACATGTGTATAGCAAAACATGTGTTAATGCAATACGTTTCGTGAGAAAATACATGATTTCCTGGAGAAATATCAAGGGTGCCAACAATTTCGGCCATGACTGTATATATATACTGTATATATATATATATACAGTTGTGTTCAAAATAATCGCAGTCAGACATCACTAACCGGATCAATCACTGTTTTTGGTAGAGATGATATGTCAAATAATTTACTAGCAGGTGTAGTAGAGTAATAGAAATCCAACAGACCCAACAGTCATGACATGCATGCTGCTGATTCTGTGTCATTGAATCACTCATTGAAAGGGACATGTTCAAAATAATAGCAGTGTGGAGTTCTATTAGTGAGGTCATTCATTCTTTGAAAAACAGGTGGCAATTATTGCCCTTATTTAAGGAAGGAAGGCAGCAAATGTTGTACATGCTGGTTACATTCGAGACTGGTTACAGTACATTTCTCTCTGAAATTCTGAGGAAAATGGGTCGTTCCAGACATTGTTCAGAAGAACAGCGTACCTTGATTGAAAAGTTGATTGGAGAGGGGAAAACATAAAGAAGTGCAGAAAATGATCGGCTGCTCAGCTAAAATGATCATAAATGCTTTAAAATGGCAACCGAAACCTGAAAGACGTGGAAGAAAGCGAAAAACTACCATTGGAATGGATAGAAGAATAGCCAAAATGGCGCGGACTCAGCCAACAATCAGCTCCAGGAAGATGAAAGAAGGTGTGACGTTCCCTGTGAGGACTGTTACAATTAGAAGACGCCTATGTGAAGCCAAGTTATCTGCAAGAAGTCCCCGCAAAGTCCCACTGTTGAAAAAAGACATGTGCTGAAGAGGTTACAATTTGCCAAAGAGCACATTGACTGGCCTAAAGAGAAATGGCGCAACATTTTGTGGACTGATGAAAGTAAGATTGTTCTTTTTGGGTCTAGTGGGCGGAGACAGTTTGTCAGACGACCCCCAAACACTGAATTCAGCCACAGTACACTGTGAAGACAGTGAAGCATGGTGGTGCAAGCATCATGATATGGGGATGTTTCTCATACTACGGTGTTGGGCCTATTTATCGCATACCAGGGATCATGGATCAGATTGAATACATCAGAATACTTGAAGAGGTCATGCTGCCTTATGCTGAAGAGGAAATGCCCTTGAAATGGGTGTTCCAACAAGACAACGACCCCAAACACACCAGTAAACGTACAACATCTTGGTTCCAGACCAACAAGATGGACGTTATGGAGTGGCCAGCCCAATCCCCGGATCTTATCCAATAGAAAACTTGTGGGGTGACATCAAAAATGCCGTTTCTGAGGCAAAACCAAGAAATAGAGAAGAACTGTGGAATGTGGTCCAATCATCCTGGGCTGGAATACCTGATCACAGGGGCCAGAAGTTGGGTGACTCCATGCAACACAGATGTACAGCAGTTCTCAGAAACAGTGCGACTACAACCAAATATTCATGAAGTCATTCAAAGGAAAGCAAAATCTTCAAACATTTCTCAGTTTATATAGTGAATGTTTGAGTTTGTAAAGAAGAATACAAACACTGCGATTTTTTTGAACCGTCTAATATTCACTTTTCTTCAATTTTTTTAGAGGAACAACACAAATTTGATGTATTTTTCTTCATGTTGTGATTTGGAATAGAATGTGTCGTGTTCCCAATGCATTTGTGTGGATGGAAATAAAAGCTGTTAGAAGGATTTTCAGCTTTATTCACTTTTTTCAACACACTGCTATTATTTTGAACACAACTGTATATATATGTGTGTAAGCGCTGAGCAAACTGTTGGCGCGCTATAAATCCTGTATAATAATAATAATAATAATATATATATAATTATATATATATATATATATATATATATATAAAATATATTGAATACGGCCAAAATTGTAGCATTTCAAATATATGTCAATATATTTGAGAAGAATATTTTAAAAATATATTTCAAATATACTTTTCTTCCATGTGGGAAGACAGTCAGGATACAGGAGACATATTTGCAGCATCAAATTCTATATTTGAGGTAGACCTCATTGGGTAGCCCCTGGCCCCAACATTCTAAAAATGCAAGTTTAAAAATAAGTAGAAATTGAAAAAAAAGGTGGAAAAAAATCCTACCTTACACTTATATGTCCAGCCACTACCGGTCAGCAAGGGTGATATCACTGGGCACCCTCCCAGGATCCCAGGAAAGCTGAGGATCCCAAATCCCACAAAACTGTTTTTTTTAAGTTTTAGTGGGATCTGGACTAAAACAAAAAGGCATAATACTAAAATATTGGAAGCGGCTAGAAACTGGGGGTGTAAAGTAAGTTTTATTTTTCTTTATTTGCTCTGATTTTCTAATATTGTTTTCCCTCTAACCTACGGTTTTTTCATCTCTACAGTAGGTGGGGTCCATCTAAGAAGAAGACCTTTCACAAGGGAAATAATAGCTTGGGGTCAGTTCAGTTCTGGGTCAATTGTATTCTTTTTTAATGTGTTTTTAAGTGATCTTTAAATCTCTGCTATTTTCTATCATTTCTTTGTTTTAAAAATATATAAATATAGGTTGTACCCATGACACCGGTGCTACGGAGCCTTTTCCAAAGAAAAGGCACAGCAGAAGCTCTTTACTTTCAGGCTTTCTCTATTATTGAAACTCCCTCTCCCTCTCTCTGAACAAGGGATGGAGGGAGAGGAGTCAATGTTCTGGCTCATTCTATAAATTGCAGCTTAAGCTATTGAGC